ACAAAGATGTTGTGTCCGCCGAGAACTAAGAAATAAATGTTTAAAAAAAAAAAAAAATAGTAGTAGTATAGACTGCTAGGTATGGTGGCACACACCTGTAATCCCAGCAGCTCAGGAGGCTGACAGGAGAATCATGAGTTCAAAGCCAGCCTCAGCATTAGCGAGGGGCTAAGCAACTCCGTGAGACCACATCTCTAAATAAAATACAAATTTGGGCTAGGGATGTGGCTCAGTGGTTTAGTACACCAAATTCAATCCCTGATACTCACCCCTCCAAAAAAAAAAAACCTCCAGGCTGGCCTGGGTTGTGGCTCAGTGGTAGAGTGTTTGCCTCACATGTGTGAGGCCCTGGGTTTGAGTCTCAGCACTGCATATAAAGAAGGTTCATAACAACTGAAAAAAAAATTTTTTTAAATAGTACAGACTGTGAAAATTTGATTTCATGCTGAAATTAGTCAAAATAAACCAAAAATGAATAGCCATATCTAACTACTAAATCACATTTTTGAAGATTTAGAATGTCTCCTTAAAATGGAACTTTTTGAATGAGAAAATTGGAGACATGGGCTGAGGTTGTGACTCAGTGGCAGAGCATTTGCCTAGTATGTGTGAGACACTGGGTTCAATCCTCAGCACCACATAAAAAAATAAGCAAATAAAATGAAGGCATGCTGTCCCCATCTACAACTACAAATAAATAAATAAATAAATAAATAAATAAATAAAAACTGAGACACGACACTTTATAAATACAGACTAGTCAACCACCAATAGTTAGTTTGCTTTTTTCCCCCAGGCAGTCTTAATTCATACTTAATTCTTTCCAACTATTTCAGGGTTAAATCTTTAAAAACACTATACTTTTAAAATAATTATTAACATGTTGGGCACAGTAGCACATGCCTATAATCCCAGCAAATTCAGAGGCCGAAGCAGAAGCAAAAGATTGCAAGTTCAAAGCCAGACCAGACAATTTAGCAAGACCCTGTCTCAAAGTAAAATTAAAAAGGGCCAGGGGTAGTAGCTGAGAGGCAGCACACTCCTGGATTCACTCCTTAATACAACAACAACAAAAAAACAACTCTCACAGATAAATCACGAACAGATGGGTTTATTTCAGCAGTTAAGTTTGAAACTCTTGCCTTAAGCAAGGGTCCTACAGTGATTATATATCAGGAATTTCCTACACTGTCAAATATATAAAAGTTCCTTTTGCACTTTCTTCAACACTGATCAACAAGCAGATTCAGTCCATTTACTTTGATTCTATTTACTGAGTTAACCCAAGCTTCTTCTTCAGAGACTCTGGCATCTCAGGTGGAGGAGGGCGAGGGAGCCTGAAGTAGACCTTCACAGAGTCATAGATGAACCACTGTAGTGCAGTAAGAGTACCAATCATGATGATACGGGCAAAGAGTCCCTTCCACACACCTGGTTCAAACAGGAAATATGAATGAAAAAAAATGCAATATACCCAAGTGTTGTTCTTTCTCTAATCAAGGGGAAAAAATTCACCTTACCTTTAAATCCAAGTCTCTGAAGGACTTGAGAAGCACTGCTACCTTTCTCTTTATTCAGCACAGACACTACAGAATCAGCAGGGTGAGAAACAATTGCACAAAAGACTCCAGCTGAAAAAAAAAGTCAAGATAAATGATTCAATATGGATCAGTTAAAAAAAAGTTAAATCATAGTCAGCCTCCCTTTTCCATGCCTCTGAGAATAAACTTATAATTTTATTTAGAAAACCAGATTTTAGCTGGACATGGTGGCATAGGCCTATAGTCCCACTACTCGGGAGGCTGAGGAAAGAGGTTCTCTTTAGCCTAGGAGTTCAAGATGTCGGCAACATAGTGAGACCTCATTATTAAAAAAAAAAAAAGGAGAAAGAAATAAAGAATTCAGGTGAGACTGGTGAGATTATAAAGCAGTCTATTCTATGTAAAAATGAACAATTCTTTCAGTTTTTATTAGATTTTAGTCAATACTTCCTCTTTATTAAAAATTTGTTGTGGGCTGGAGTTGTGGCTCAGCGGTAGAGCGCTTGCCTCGCATGTGTGAGACCCTGGGTTCGATCTTCAGCACCACATAAAAATAAGTGAAATAAAGGTATTGTGTCCAACTACAACTAAAAAATAAATATCTTTAAAAAAAATCTGTTGTCGCTGGGGATGTGGCTCAAGCGGTAGCGCGCTCGCCTGGCATGCGTGCAGCCCGGGTTCGATCCTCAGCACCACATACAAAGATGTTGTGTTCACCAATAATTAAAAAATATTAAAAATTCTCTCTTTTAAAAAAAATCTGTTGTAATCATGGCAACTTATCAAGATCCCATATCTCAAAATAAAAAATGAAAACGGATGGAATGTGATCAAGTGGTAAAGCGCCCCTGGGTTCAATCCCAGGTACCCAAAAAACAGTTTTTGATAAATTTTTTGTAAAATGGTGCAGATCAATACATATATTCCCAAGTCTAACCATAAAACAATCCTTTTAGATTAGTTAGAAAGTACTTATGAATCCAAAAGGACATATAAAATGTTATGGGAAAATGGGCACAATGGTGCATGCCTGTAATCCCAGCGGCTCTAGAGGCTGAAGCAGGAGGATCATGATTACAAAGCCAGCCTCAGCAACTTGAGGAGGTCCTAAGCAACTCAGTGAGACCCTATCTCTAAAAAAGGGCTGGGGATGTGCCTCAGTGATTAAGTGCCCCTGATTTCAATCCTGTACCAAAAAAAAAAAAAAAAAAAAAAAAAAAAAACATTATGGGAAGATAAAACCGCTTTGTAACCTTTGGAATACTTTTTCCCCACAGAAGAGGTCAATAATGAAAACAATTATTAGCCCCTAATTTCACAGAAAAATGTGTTCCAAATAACTCTTACCTATGTAACCTGCCACAAACGTTACAACCAGCTGTTCTGCCTTTGTACATTCACTTCGGGGCTTAGGAACCACAAACTTGTACAATGCTTCAACAGTACGTTCAAAGCAGGCAAACTTCATCATGGTGTATGGTATCTGTCTCATCCAGAGAGGAGCAACTCCCTTGTAGAATCTAGGAAATTAGGAGACTTATTTATACATTTGCATATGTTAATCTAGCTGACATTTTCTTCATTAACTTAAGTGTCCGCACACCAATCGAGTCCTGATAGTAAAAAATGACAGCATAACTGCATGCCATTTCCATCAGAACCTGAGACTAGCATGCAGGTATATTGATCTCACATGCCAATGACTCAAGCACCTTTGACTATACAACCAAAAAAGTTGCCGGATGTTCTTTGACTGGAAACTACAAGAAACAAGAAGTTTACAAGTAGAACTCAGCCCAAGACTCATCCACAAAGGTGGATCTAAGGAAGCATGTTGTGGCCTGACTACAGGCAAATTCTTAACTATGAATGGATCACATGAGTTCTAACAAGTTCTCTCAAAAGCAAATAGTAAATATTTGGCCAAATAGTAAGTGTTTGGGCTTAATTCAGGGCTCAAACCATGTACTAACAGAACTTTTGCCCCTAGAATTTAGGTTCTAGACATGGGTAAATAAGACATTAAGGACTGGTGTTGTGGCTCAGCAGTAGAGCGCTCACCTCACATGTGCGAGATGCTGGGTTCAATCCTCAGCACCACATAAAAGTAAATAAGTGAAAATATAGGTATTGGTCCAACTACAACTAAAAAAAAATTAAATATTAAAAAAAAAGATAACATTAAATAACATAATAGAGACAGTAAGTCTGCTGGGCTTAATGCTAAACAATGAAAGTATTTTTAGCCAAGTGTTTACTTACGCTTTTAAGCCTTCTTCCTTATACATTTTGGGAGCTGCATCCCTCAAAGTGTTGGCATAACCTGGTTGGGTTTGAATCCGAACTTTAGTAGCTTCCATAGGAGCCAGGGCAATGTCAGCAAAGAATTCAGCACTGGCAGAAGCAGCCAAATACAGTGATGTGCGCCAGAGATAGGCGTTCTCCTAAAAAACAAAACATAAGGAGGCATGTAAATTGCTGAAGCATTGGCTATTTTCAATTTAAGTGATAATTTCAGACCTTTGTATTTATCACACAGTCAGTCCCTAGATAACACACAATATGAGACTTAATATATGTTGTATCTCATAAGTTGTAACTTCATGAACCAAATGTGAACATTTTTTGAATATCTGGTTGCAAGGTATAGTTAGCCCTACACAAAGGAATCCCAGAATCCTCCTTTTTCAAAGAAGTGAACCTCAATCCAAATTATTTAGAAAGCAACACTGCAAAAGGAAAAGAGCACTGAAATTTTATGAAATGCTTTTGTTTCTCATCCTGTCTCTGCTAAAACAGCCTATGACTTGAAATAGATTGCTTACTCTTTGGAGGACCATTTCTTCAGTTGTAAAATAAGTTGAGTCAACCAAAAGCTAAGAAATTATTTAAGACTTTCAGTTTAAAAGTTAAATCACGTACCTCACCAAGCATGTTGCTATACAAGACTTTGAAGACTTCATAAAAGCCAAACTTGCAAAGCCCTTGCATAGAGTAGCCAATGAAAGTTGGAGCCCATCCTTTAGCCAAACCACGAACACCATCTTCCTTAAGTGTAACTGAGAATCCATTAAATATGCCTTTGTACTTCTGGGGGTCCACCTTTATGAAAAAGAAGGAAAAAAAATTAAATGCAACAAAGATCTAACACTTCTCATAAATATATAATTTTTTCCCTTTTGGTTCTAAAATAAAATTTCAGTAACTACACAAGGTAAATAGAGTTTTAACACACAATCAGGTTAATATCTATGTCTTTTATAAATAGAAACTTTTTTACATTAAGCCGAGTCATAAATCTTGAAGGGATAGTTAAGAGGGTAAAATTCCAACAACAACAACAAAAAAAACTGATGGTTTCTTACCATCTAATTCCCATTATTACTTTTTTCTTTTTCTTTGGTACAGGGGATTGAACTCAGGGGCATTCAACTACTGAGCCACATCCCCAGCCTTATTTTGTATTTTATTTAGAGACAGGGTCTCACTGAGTTTCTTAGAGCCTCACTTTTGCTGAGGCTGGCTTTGAACTCTCAATCCTCCTGCTTCAGTCTCCCAAGCTACTGGAATTACAGGCATATGCCACCATTCCTGGCATAATTCCCATTATTTTTTAAAAAACTAGTTTTGAAGCTACTGTCTTAATAGTAGGTAAGTCTGTATTCCTGATATGCTAGTCCTCTAGGCAGATTATAAAATCTTATGAATTAGACAATAAACTATTTTAGAAGATACATCAATGCAATAAGAATCTCTTTAAGAAATTAAATTCACTTCCAGAGACATTCAATAAGTTTTAGCAAAGGCACATTTCATATCCATTCTGTTAACAAATGGGAAAAAGCTTATCTCACTATTTCTGCCAGTACTACAAGGGCTGGTATACATCACCTTCCTCTCTCCTTCCTAATATTTCACCTCCTTTCTCTTTTAGGTAAGTAGACTTCTAATCCTGTTTGGGACAAATAAATTTTTGATGTTTGATTATTTTTGTTTCAATAATCTTAATTAAAATATATTCAAATCTTAAGAAAACATAAATAGATATACGAATAACTAAGCCCACAAACTTTTCATACTTAGATATCAAGATCATTTTTTAAAAATTAGGGGCTGGGGTTGTGGCTCAGTGGTAGAGCCCTTACCTAGCACATGTGAGGCACTGGCTTTGAACTTCAGCACTATATAAAAATAAATAAGGATATTGTGTTCATCTACAACTAAAAAAATATTAAAAAAAAAACTCACATGAACTCTATGCCTTGGTCTTATCAATATTTAAGGACTTAAAAGTCACTTCACATTAGCATACAAAGACTGATTACCTGCATTGACATGTTAACTGCTTGAAGGGTGATTATTTGGGGCATAAAGAACCAGGAGACCTTGAAAGGCTACTCTAGCCAGAACTGAAAACCAGGAGGAAAGAGTCATGCTTTCTAGAAAGAGGCATTCCATGGATTTAAAACACTAAAAATATAAAGACCACATAGTTTAAAAAAAAAAAAATTAGGGTTTGGTTTCCTACTGAAGCTTCTAGCAAGTTGTAATACCTTCAAATTCTTTTCATTTGGGAAACCCTTGAAGATTACTTAGAATTAAATCATATAGAAAAGATATGCTGAATGTCATCATCTCAATACAAACCTGCATACGACATTTCACTAAATCCAGGGGAACGACAGCAGTGTGTGTCAGCCCACAACTTAAGACCCCACCAAAGCCACACAGTGCATAAAACTTCATGGAGCCATATTCACAACTGTACTCTGTAATAAGATAAGACACACCATGCATTTTAATAAAAAAAACTCTTTTGTTACTGGTCATCAACTTACCTCCTGGACAGTTAGGTTTCCACACAGCCTGTTAGTAGATATCTACATCTTACAATAGCCATGCTTCAACAATATTTTAGTCCAGCATGCAAGACAAACCTGCATTCTGCATTTAACCAGATCTAGAGGAACCAATGCTGTATGTGTTGTGCCACAACTAATAATTCCTCCAAGTCCACAAAGGATAAAGAATCTGCCAGATCCATAGTCACAGCTATACTGTTCTGATTGGGGGGGAAAAAAAAAACCAAGTAAGAACTTCTTTAGAGATGATAAAGGCCATGGTGATGAAAGAAAACTGCTTCCCTGTGAAACAGTACTATCACAGCTAAACAGTTTTGGCGAACATTTAAAATTAAGTGGCTTTCCGTCTATTGCAAATTTCAAGAAATCCACCGTCAAGATCAGATCATTTAAAAATTATTAGGATTTTGTGTCTGAGATACTATTCTCTCTTATTTTGCCATATTAATTTTTAAAAATCCTCTACATTAATAGATCCCTCAATTAAAATAAACATCAAATAGCAGCTTCAGAATACAAATGGAACTCAGAGCACCTGACATGTAACAAGCTTGCGAAAATTTCAAAAGTTTACCCCAGCAACTATCAATTACTAACCCCTCTTAATGAACTCCTACAATATAAGCATACACGATTCCTGCAAATACATGTCATATACAAATGTTAGCTTTAACTTATTACATTGAAAGAGAATGAGAGTGTAAGGACTTTTAATCCACACTAAAGACACAACAGAAGCACATGAATGACTGGGGGTAAAAAACAACTTTCCATTTTACAGGCACAATGGAGGTAACATTCTCAGGACTCCTACAATTCCGTTTTCAGGTTTTCTCTGTATATACGCTCCACTGGGATTTAAAACACACACAATTAAATTAGAGCTGGGCCCAACCACCCTGAATCCCAAGAGATAAGCCCAAAGGGATGCCCACCAATTATCTCCTCTGTCTACCTGGGGTCATAAGTCACCTTCTCCACCAGTAGCATTAAAACAAAAAAAGATCATTTACCCTGCATTAACTAAAGCTTGGGAAATATGAGTTGGGGAAGAATATTTTTAAGAAAATTAAAGGCAAATTAAAGAACAGGTGATACAGTTAGAACAATAGGTGGGCAGCGATTAGGAAGAAGACTTTACCCAAAGTCTGCTGACCAGGCAGACTCAAAAAAAAAAAGATAAGAAGCTATTGAAGCCTGTCTGCCTCTATTCCTTTGGGGACAGAGAGGTCACGGAAAGACGCTGGGCCTAGGCCCTTCCACGCCCTTGAGGGAGGGAGGGCCAAGGATCCGACACCAGCCTACCGGGCAAAAGGGTAACATCCCAGGGCAAGCAACTGTGGTGCCATACACTGCGGTGCAACGGGCTGGCGCCTTCCCTGTCCTCCAGGGCAGGCCCAGGCCTCAAAGGCAGAGCGGGGCAACAGTGGCCTTGACAACTGCATCGGGGCTGTCTGATCTCACCTTCCACAGCGGCGGCTGCCAGGTTGCGGGAACGTCGAGGAGGGCCTGGGGGCCCGGTGGGGCTGCTGCTGGGCCCCGAGAGGCCATCGTGCACCAGCTGCAGGTGTGGCGCGTTGAAGGGGTTCGCCCGCGCCAGGTGGACCACGGACGAATACATCTTCCTAAGAGAGGAGGAAGCGGCGGTTAGAGGAAAGGCAAGGAGCCCGTCAATGTCATTGGGACCCAAAGAGGGGCCTTCTTCCTTCTCGCCTCCGCGCCCTTGAGGAGGTCACGGCGCCTTCCCTAAGAGGCCGTGCCCAACCGGGCCTACTGCCAAGCAGCTGCCCCATAGGGGCTCCAGGATCCGCTCCCAACACCCACCGCGGGGAAGGCCGAACCACACTCACTCCTTAAGATGGCGAACACCCGACCGCTCCCTCGGAAAGGCTGCGGCTCATAGAGGCCGAATGTCCTCCGGGTCCTCAGATCCGTGCCCTTCGCGCGTCGTCAGCATGACGCACTCAGCGCGTC